AAACATACTAATGAGACACGTCCCAGCATAGGTGTATGTGTGTGTGTGAAGAAAGTGCAGGTCTGCAGTGAGAGATGAATGCACGTAAACACAATTTACCAACCTCTCAAATAACATTAAGGCAGACTTTGTTGCTCCCTCTCTCCATTTGTTCTCCAAATTCTAGGATCACTCATTTTGTTTCAGCTCGTTTTGTTTTATTCTCTGTCGCTAACATCAGCTCCACTGTATTCTGTCGTCACATTCAACCCACAACCCACTCATGTTTTTGCAGAATTTAAATCAGAAGCAGGCTGACTGCAGGAGATGCTTTCATGGTGCAGAGCATGAATCAGAGTTCAGTGTATAGATGCATATCTCATTTAAAAACAGTAGCCTGTCAATAGAAAGAACTCAAAGTAGTTATCAGGCCTTAAATGGGCTGTTTTACCTGTTCCCCCACCACATTAACAACTTCTGTTGTTAACACTCAGTTTGATCAGTTTTTCATTTTAAAAAACTATGGTGTTTTATATTTTCAGAGACTACACGAGGAGAGAGAAGAGGGAAGGAAACTCGGGATGCAGCAGTGGAGACAGAAACAGGAAAAAGGTACAAATTATTTAAAATTTTGGGTAAAGAAATGGAGGAAGACAGAGATCTAATTTCTGAGTATCTGAAAATAAAAATAAATAAAAATATTGATTAATTTTTTGGTGAAAATCTGTTCTTTAATTTGGGGACATTAATGACTTTACCACATTCTTTTGAAGGAAGAACAGATGAAGACTCAACACAAATTTAAGATAGGACACTTTAAGTAGGAAAGGGGTGGAAAAAAAACCTGAAGGAGAAATAGAGATGAATCGCAGTTCAGTGGAAGTGAAGATGAAAGAGGAGCGATAGAGAAGGATGGGAGGATGGAGTTGTGATAGATTGAGGCTTACAAAGATGGATGTATAAAACAGAGAGAAGGAAAGGGGACAAAGCAAAGCTGAAAAGATGGATGGATGGATGGATGGATGGATGGATGGATGGATGGGTGGATGGATGGATGGATGGGTGGATGGGTGGATGGGTGGATGGGTGGGTGGGGGTCTGTAAACTCCAGCCTCGCTCAGAGCCTGATTAATCTCAGGACAGACAGTTAATGTGGTGCTGAGGCAGCTCTTGAGTGACTGTCTGTCCTGATTTCTTACGAATGGACATGAAATGATTTCTGATCACTGAAAAGTCAATCAATACACATCATTTATAATGTTTCAATATTTATTCCATTAACCGGGTGTGAAAGCTGATATGTGTTTCCGTCAATTAATTTGAAATCCTTAAGAGAATAGAGTTTTGACTTAATCGAACATTTTCCCTGAGAGTTTCTGTCCTTATATTTAATAATAAAGACAGATATTGTGACAGACTAATGAATAATCTGTTAATCAACTAAATGATTAATTGGAAATTAATTAGAAATTATTTTATAATCACTTAACTATTTGTTATTTTCCAAACAACATTCATAGGCCCACTCATATCTTGATATTGGTTTGTTATTGGTTTTCCTTGTATTCTGTAATATTTACTACTTTTGGTTTTTCTGTTTTATTTTCCAGCTAAAAAGTATTTATCAGTGGTAAAATAACTGCAATTTGCAGGCTTACTTAATGAGGGAGGTTATTGATGTATTTTTTTACCAGAGCATTTGGTTCCAAAAACATTTTTTTAATATAGCCAATATTATAGGTGATAGAGCTGAAATCAAACACAAGCCTAAACTCTTGTCTTTATCAGCTTTTCACCGGCTTTGTTTCTACTAAAGGGCCTGACGTCAGTGCATTATTCAGAGCTGTACATGTCCACAGATCTGCTCCCTCCGCTGGGAGCGTTTACCACCCTGTGCTGCAGCTACTCTGGTTCTCCTCTCAGCTGACAAGGACTGGCAGCACCTGTCTCACCCAATTACACCTGATGGGGGTCTGACCCGCTGAGCTGGGTTAACTGGTGGCTGGCTGAACACTGTCTGACCTCTGTCACTGAGGCTGCACACACATGCACATGATTTACTGTTGAAGTTCATCAATGAAGCTTTGTTATTTTTCACTTTCCAAGGACAATGGGGAATTTTGAGGGCGAGTAAGCAGATTCTAAGTCATGCAACATCAAATAACTCATATTAGGATGCACACTTTTCCTTGTTCCCTGGGATAAAAACTTTTCATGTTGAGAGCTACAAAGAGCACAAATACAGTTGAAGTAAATCAACTTCAAAGTTGGAGGACAAGAGTCTTTTTTCCACTTTCCTCAGCCTGAGTTTGTACATGAGACTCGTCCGTCACCTCTGCTCTGCTGCTCTGTCACCTGGTCATATAAACAACAACCTGTCAGTCTTTCTATTAGGCCTTTAAGCCTTTTAAAGAAAATCAAAGACCCATTAACAGTCATCTGACAACAGACAACACCTCGTAGTAATCCTTCCCTTAACTCTGACCTAGCCCTCTCTCTCTCTCTCTCTCTGTCACTCTCTCTTGCTCAACACCCGACGCACGCAATCATCCCTCAATGTCCAACAAACACTTAAGAGATCAATGTTCCAAGAGTGATAATCTCCCCCTTGATGGAAAGCGAAAGACTTCAGTTAAAGACAAGAAAAGAGTGGCAGGGGACACAGAGAGAGAGAGCAGTAGAGGTAGATAAAGAGGCAAAAAAATATAAAAATAAAGGTATAAAGACAAGTGTCTCCCTCAGCTGGAGTGACATCTATATCCCTGTCTTTATCGACAACTGGCTGAACTAAGAGCTCCACTGGCAGGGAGGAGGTGACTGATCGTCCGTCCACGGGAGGAGAGATGGAGAAAGAGAGGGTTGAAGATATAGGGAGAAATACTGAGAAAAAAAGAGAATGATAGGGACAGAAAAAAGAGGCAGAGAGGAAGAGGGATAAATACAGACTGCATCACTACCTCCATTACTCACACGGGTGAGGTAGTTTTAGTAGAGGAACTAGTAATACTTTCAGTGCAGTCAAAAACTATAAAGCAGAATTAATACTGTAATAGTTCTGCCCAACCACAGAAGATGTTCAACCATATGTATTTTAATGTACAATGTTTTTAAGATTTTGCTTTCTACAAGATTTCTATTAAAGTGTTAGTAGCGGTTGTAGCAACACTTGTAATAGTAATAGTTGTCCTGAATCCTCAGACATGTTCAAACAGTGTGTATCCAGTGTCATTGTCAGACTTAGAGATCAAATAAAGCTAATACAGAGGGAGAGTGTAATATTTTCACTCAGTATAGCCAGAGCAGCGCTACTCTCACGCTTTATTTCACTTCAGCTCTAATGGTTGGGCACAGGCAGCTGTCGAAACATACACACACGATGCATGAACCCACGCCCGCTTTCCCACTGCCACACACATTATGCATGTTCCCTCAGGTAAAAGTATCTCAACCCTCCCGCACACACTCATCTCCATTCAGCTGTGTGTGTGTGTGTGTGTGTGTGTGTGTGTGTGTGTG